CATCCAGCAATACCCCTCCTAAACCCTTCAAATCGTGCTGCTTGAGTAGTCGCAATAAACTTTTGCCATCCTTAATTTTATATACCGGTTTGAAGCTAAAGCGATGCCCATCCGGTGTTGCCTCAATTTTTGGATTATTTGTGAGGGCTTCGGAGGCTAGCCACTGAAAATACATAGAGTCTATATTTTTTCCAGTTCTCTGTGTAGTTAGAGACTACATTTTTAACAGATTGTCCAATGTCCAGTTGATTAGTTTCGTCCAAAATTTCCTCAATGGTCAAAGGGTGGTCATCACCGTCTTGATGTCGAGTACGCATATGTTTTACAATCTTGGCTAGCACACCAAATCGATATTGCGAACTTCCAGACATAGTCTTATACCTTGTGCGATAATGAAATTAAACAGATGATAAACGTGCCGTGATACAACCTACGTGCTGGCATCCAATTTAGGAGCGCTCGGAGGACGCATTTTCTTTTTACCATCATCTTTAGCGGGCGGTGGCGGTGCCTCAGTCTTTGGCTTTTTCTCCACGCTGGATGGGGAAAGAAAGAGTATTTACATACACATGTACACATATTGGCAATATCTAATAAATGGATAAACTCACGTGGGAGTGGCCATAGCCCTTTTCTTGAACGCTTCGCGTTCCCTAAGTAGAGCCGGATCCATGGTATTGTAATAAACCTCTAATACTTAACGGAAACACTTATTTCTTTCTGTTTACACACAAATAGTTATGACACAGCTGTTAAACTTGGAGATGCTCCTTCTTTTAGGAATGTCGGAAAAACATCGATGCAACGAAAATATCGATGTTTTGCTTCGATGTATCGAAATTTTACACGGTGTGGTATAAATAGTCGATGTATCGGTGCATCGATGTTTTTTTGTAAACTGACATTTCCGGCACATTGAACCGTCATTCCAGTTTTTAAATTGTTCAAAAAAGCGAAGTTACTTTGACAAAAAAAAAATGAAATGATTGCAAGAAGTTCCGTTAAAACCATAATTAGCTCAGTTGCAGTAATGTATTTAGAATTTTATAAAATTTTGCTTGTTGTGAAACATTATATTAAAAATCATATGCAAATCGATGCATCGATGTGTGCCCGGTTACTGGCGAATTTAGATTTTCGCCGCGACACTTCTTAATGTCAAAATGATGTGATTGTTGTAATATGAGTTCGCCTTGTTTACAACGAACACATCATTTTGACATTAGGAACATTAACATAAACATTAGTTGCGTTCGATAACAAAATTAGCCAACACCAGCCAACAATCCAAATGAAGAGAGTAAGCGAAAATTCTCTCCCAAAGAGAAGAAAAAGCAAAAAAGTAAAC